CGGTCCTCTGGCCCCGCCCCATGGCCCCGCCCATGGCCCCGCCCCTCCTCGGCCGGAGCTGGAATGTTATCCTGGGGGACGCGCACGTCTGCAGCAGGAAACGCCTAAAGGTCTCCAACTATTGGAGCCCGAGGCAAAGGCAAAGGGGGCGCCCACGAGGCGTCTACTTCTCCGGGAGGTCTCCGCTGGGCCCCGCGCACTTTTCCTGTCTTTCTTGGTAGTTTTGCACACTTTTTAAAAGTCTCAGTAATTCTAGGAACCGCATACATCCGCGTGAACACAGGGGACGTGGGGAAGTAGGGATAAATCAGCCTTTTCTGGTCTGTATAATGGGGAAAGTAGCAGTCCTTTAGACACTGATTATTCATTGCTAAAGCCCCTAGGCGTAATGTAAGTAATTAATACTGCTGTAGGGAAGGGTGAGCTTTTACTGCGCACGTGTTGAGTCTAAGGTGTGCAGTCAGTCGCAGCCAGTATTTCTCAAATCTTGGCCCTTGGGCTACAACCTAATGCAGCTCCTGGAACTGGTAGGACTGGACCCCAGACGGCAGAGCTATAATCTATTTAAAAAATGTTTAAAAAATGTTTTTATCAATTCCAGAGAGAGAGAAAGGGACAGGGAGAGAGGGATAGAAACATCAATGATGGGAGAGATGCCTCCTGCACGCCCCCTACTGGGTTATCCAGCAGGCAACCTGGGCGTGTGCCCTAATCAGAAATCGAACCCTGAACTCCTGGTTTATGGATTGAGGCTCAAACACTGAGCCATGCCAGCTGGGCAGAGTTATAATCTTTGATGATGATAATCTGCATTTCTTCAAGAGCTCTGGAGATTCTGAGGCACTGTAATTAGAGGGCCCCTGATATACTAGGAAGTCTAATATTTTTAAAGCTCATAAATGAAAACAATCTCTATAAGATTTTTTAAAAAAATCCAAGCCAGTTCCATGAAAATTAACTTTGGGGCTAATTGATACTTACTGCCTATTACCTCTGGGCAAAGAAAACTACTAGTAACCTAAACCCATTAATTCAACAAACATATCAAGAGCATGTATATATGCCCAACACTATTCTAGGCTGTGAAGATATAGCAGTGAGCAAAAAGGACAAACATCCCATCCCTCCTGAAGTTTACTTCCTGGTGGGGAAGATGCACATAGACAAAATAAACAAGTGAAATATGTGTAGTGTCTTACGTGGCATTCTATAAAGCAGGGGAGAGGTTAGGGGAGCTGGGGGCAGAGTCTACTTTTAAATTGGGGTAAATGCAAATGGGAGAATTTAGTCTCTCTGAATTTAAAATGTATTGATTTCATAGTTAGGTCTTAGTGTACATACACAACATTCTTTTTCACATGTGTTTCAAACACAATAAACATGTGCTACCTCCACTACTGGCTCCCTAACTTACCCAAACCAGAACCAGGCTCTGAAGAGGGCGTTTCAGGAAGGCATGGAGCTTCTCTATTCAGCAATATGTTCAGGGCTTCCACCTACCTACAACCGCTGGGTAGGACAAGGGTCTCCAAGTCTGGGCTGTTCTTACTAAATGCTACTCTTGATAAAAGTTCAAATGTAGCACAGTATTTTGCAGACACAGCTGTAAACAGGATGACCTTGATAAGGAGCCCAACCAGATTAAGTGTAGCCAACTGGAAAGAAGTTAACATACAATTAATCAAAGAGTGTATAGAACAGCGATGGCGAACCTTCTGAGCTCGGCGTGTCAGCATTTTGAAAAACCCTAACTTAATTCTAATGCCGTGTCACATATAGAAATTTTTTGATCTTTGCAAGCATAGTAAAACAAAGATTTCTATTTTTGATATTTATTTTATATATTTAAATGCCATTTAACAAAGAAAAATCAACCAAAAAAATGAGTTAGCGTGTCACCTCTGACACGCGTGTCATAGGTTCGCCATCACTGGTAGAGAAGCGATACTAAGCTTTCTTTTCCTGAGACAGATGTGAATTCCCAAGGACACAAAGGTAAGCAAGAGCAGGCCCACCTCTGTCTGCTCAGAGTTTACAGCCTAGTGGGGAGGCAGAAAGGGGCACGTGAAAAAGAGGTGTGAGGGCCTGGAAGTCGGGACCTGACCTGGCCCAAGACAACAGAAGAGGGAGCTTCCCACTGAAGTTTGGGTGCTAGAAGAGCTGTCAAAGTGCTCACAATTGCCAGTAAGGAGGTGGGGGTGCGGGTGGGGGGGGGTGATTCCAGGGGATGCTGGATAAGGGCAAGAACTTTTGATTCCCTGCATGACTGTTAAAATCCTTCGCAGTGATGAACAGAGAGAAGCCATTTTCATGGAAGAAGGTCTCCAATGATCAAATCTGCATTCTGAAAAGATCATTTTAGGCTGCAGTGTGTATTTCAAACTTGGAAATTAGGAATACACCTCCTAAATATGTTAATTTCCCTTATTTATTAGAAATCCAAACCTTAAAAATATATTCTATATTCTAAGCATCTCACCCAAAGCATATCAATTCTCAGAATAAGTTCTTAATATTTATTATTAGCGGGGAGAAGTTGTAGTTTACTTTAATTAGGTTTCTAAGAGTCTGTGCCTTCGCAATATGCCCACCCCACTCAGTACGAATGTCTTCTGGTTCAAGGCACATTCCTTTTCCCTTGTGTATTGATGTCGTCTCCTCTGGATCTTCTCTCATTTCATCACATCTCTTTGGAGATTTGTATTATGGGAATTGTTCATCTTCTAATAAGACTAATAACTCCAAAGACATTTCCCTTGGTGATGTATTGGTTGGCATTTGGTTTTCACTTCTACACTTCTTTGGTTTCCTGACACAGCCTGTGTCCTGGGCCAAACCCCAATTTGCATAGTTTTAATTCTTGCTCCTGTTAGAAATGGACAGGCTACATGTGGAAGGCTGCTACACATGTAGAATAGTGGTTGAAAGCAGGACTTTGGGAGCAGGCCACTTCCTGGCTGTGTGATGAACACATTATTTAGCCTCCGAAACTTCAGTTTATCTTTGAAAAGGAAGTTGAAATAGTGCACATTTCATGGAGCTTTTAATGAGGATTGAATAAGATAATGTATGCAAGTGCTTCGCTCACGGTAGGCACTTGATAATGTTAGCCGTTATGTAGAACTAAGTGGGCACATAAGCAAAAACATGCAATTTCTATTTAAATAATTATCTAGGAGAAGATGGAAACAAAACAAGACCTTGACTTTAACCTGTCTGAATCTGAGGAGCCTTTATGAACTGGGGGAAGGAAGGTCTGGAAAAGTCATTAAGAGCGTCAACAAACAGTGGTGCTTAACCTGATGAGAGAGGGTCCCCGAGACAGTTCAGAGTCCTTCCTCTTCGTTTAACCTTCAACTCATCACCCAGAAAAGGTTTCGTTTGTCTGTCACGGGCAGATGACATTAGACTGGATTTGTTAGCTGAGTTGTAATAAGATTCGGGTATTGAAACCCTGACCTCTTAAGAGGCAGGGATTAATGTAGCCCATTTCCCACCCAGCAGTCTATGGTCCTCTGAAACTCCTTCGACACATGGGAATTAAAAAAAAAATCACAGTACATGAGGCTGGATTGCTACCGTTGTTGTCAATTTGTTCTTAATGGCAGATGAGAAAAAAAGAAAGAAAAAAGGTTTGATACGAGGTCCTATGCTGTTTGCTGGTTTCCATGCTCTTCTCTGTTCGGGCGTCAGCTTCATGGAATCTGTCCACAAGAATATCCATACCCTGCCTATCTGGGTGTTTTCACATTCAACGTCACATTACCAAGGCTAGAAGACATCACATGGCCAACTCCTGCATGACGGAAGGCTGAGTGACTAAAGACAACCCCTTGCATTTTATAGGGAAGGAAGGAAGGAACGAAGGAAGAGAGGGAGGGAGGGAGGGAGGGAGGAAGGGAGGGAAAGAAAAGAAAAGAAAAGAGCAAAAACGTGTCTCCAGGCACTCAGGCAGGTAATGCTGGTTAGGAAAGCAAGCCGCCCCAGGCAGGTGAGGACTGAGGAGCCCAGGACCCTCCGAGAGGGCAGCGCCACTCAGGCCCACTGAGTTGTTGGCAAATGTTAACACATCAACCCCACTGCTTGGGGCTTAAAGATTTTTCAAGAGCCCCTAGATTTCTATATTTTTATATCAACTCTCTCAATTTTTAGATGCTGGCAACAAATCCTTTTTTAAAAATTGATTTTTAGAGGGAGAGAGAGAGGGAGAGAGGAACGTTGATTTGTTGTTCCACTTGTTTATGCATGCATTGGTTCCCTTTTGTATGTGCCCTGATGGGGGATGGAACCCGAAACCTTGGTGTATGGGGAGACCCTCTAAACAACGGAGCTATCCGGCCAGGCCCAGCTGGCAACAAATTTAAAAAAATCTAAACCCATGCCAAGTAATTTCAACTTTGGGCTTCATTTTGCTGTGGAGCAATGAATTTAAACCTCTGCTCTAGTGAGATGAGCCAAGCAATCTCTTTGGAAAAATTATTTCTCTCCCACAGGAACTAGAAGATTCCTGTGCTTGGAAAGTGTCGTAATATGATTTGTGTTCAATGCAGCATTGTGAAATTAGTGCATAAAATAATTTTATTTATAATGTTCAAAGGAAATATGACAAATAAAAGAAAGTTTTGAAAATAATTTTTAAACAGTGTTAATTGAAGAGAAGTACTTAAATTCAAAATTTAATGGTTGTTTTTAAAACATTTATTTATATTTAAGCTTCAGTGACCCGTCTGGGTTCTTCTCCCACCATCTATCCTGGTATCTAGTCTTTTCAAAAACATTTAAAACTCAAATTCTGGGGGTGTGGGATGGGGAAAGAGGAGAACAAGAGAGCTTTAGACA